TGATTTGCAAATATTGAACCATCCTTGCATCCCTGGAATGAATCCCACTTGGTCATGGTATATGATCTTTTTAATGTATTGTTGGATGCGGTTTACCAGTATTTTGTTGAGGATTTTAGCGTCAATGTTCATTAGTGATATTGGCCTGAAGTTTTCTTTCTTTGTTGTGTCTTTATCTGGTTTTGGAATTAGGATGATGCTGGCCTCATAAAAAGAGTTTGGGAGACTCCCATCTTTTTGGATTTTTTGGAATAGTCTGTGAAGGATAAGGGTTAGCTCTTCCTTAAATGCTTTGTAGAATTCTCCTGTGAAACCATCTGGTCCAGGGATTTTGTGTGTTGGGAGTTTTTTTATTACAGCTTCAATTTCTTTTGTTGTTATTGGTCTGTTCAGGCTTTCTGCATCTTTTTCATTGAGTTTTGGAAGATTATATTTTTCTAGAAATTTGTCCATTTCCCCTAGGTTTTCAAATTTCTTGGCATACAGTTCTTTGTAGTAATTTCTCACAATCCTTTGTTTTTCTGTGGTATCTGTTGTAATCTCTCCTCTTTCATTTCTGATTGTGTTTATTTGGGTCTTCTCTCTTTTTTTCTTGATGACTCTGCTTAAAAGCTTGTCGGTTTTGTTTATCTTTTCGAAGAACCAGCTCTTGGATTCATTGAGCCTTAGAATTATGCTTTTAGTCTCTATGTCATTTAATTGTGCTCTGATCTTGGTTATTTCCTTTCTTCTGCTTGCTCTGGGCTGCCTTTGTTGTTGTTCCTCAAGTTCTTGTAGACGTAGGGTTAGGTTGTTTGTTTGGAATGTTTCTATCCTTTTTAGGTGGGCCTGTATCGCTATGAACTTCCCTCTCAGGACTGCCTTGGCTGTGTCCCATAAGTTTTGGGTTGTTGTGAGTTCATTTTCATTTGTTTCCAGAAACGTTTTGATTTCTTCCCTAATGTCATTCTTGACCCATTCATTGTTTAATAGCATGCTATTTAATCTCCATGATTTTGAGTGTTTTTTGTTTTTTTCCTTAGGGTTGGTTTCTACCTTCAGTCCCTTGTGGTCTGAGAAAATGCTTGGTATGATTTCAATTTTCTTGAAATTCTTGAAGCTTGTTTTGTGTATTATCATGTGGTCTGTCTTTGAGAATGTTCCATGTACATTTGAAAAGAATGTATATTTAGCTTCTTTTGGATGGAGGGCTCTGTATATATTAGTAAAGTCCATTTCCTCAAGGGTATTGTTCAATACCACAATATCTTTGTTGATGTTTTGTTTACAAGATCTGTCCATTTTTGATAGTGGGGTGTTAAAATCTCCCACTATAATTGTGTTGCTGTCCATATCTTTCTTGAAGTCCTCTAAGATTTTCTTTATGTGTTTCGGTGCTCCTATGTTGGGTGCATATATATTTACAATATTTATTCTTCTTGATGGATTCCTCCCTTGAGTATGATGAGGTGACCTTCTGGGTCTCTCTTTATGGACCTTTTTTGGAAGTCTATTTTGTCTGATATGAGTATTGCTACCCCAGCTTTTTTTTCCTGTCCATTTGCTTGGAAGATTTGTTTCCAGCCCTTCACTTTCAGCCTGTGTAGGTCTTTTATCCTAGGTGGGTCTCTTGTAGACAACAGATATGTGGGTCATTTTTTTTTTATCCATTCAGCCATTCTGTGTCTTTTGATTGGAGCATGTAATCCATTTACGTTTAAGGTTATTATTGATAAGTACTTATTCATTTTCTTTCATGCACGTGTGTTCCTCTCTCTCTCTCTCTCTTTGTCTCTCTCTCTGTCTCTCTGTCTCTCTCTCTCTTTTCCTTCCCTTCCTTAAAGCAGTCCCTTTGGGATCTCTTGCAGAGCTGGTTTAGTCGAGGCATATTCTTTTAGACTTCTTTTGTCTGGGAAGCTTCTTATTTGGCCTTCTATCTTGACCGAGAGCCTTGCTGGATATAGCAGCCTTGATTGCAGACCTCTGGTTCTCATTACCTGGAGTATTTCTTGCCATTCTCTTCTGGCTTGAAGTGTTTCCATTGCAAGTCGGCTGTTAGCCTTATTGGGGCTCCCTTGTATGTTACTTCCTTTTTCTCCCTTGCTGCCTTTAAGATTCTCTCTTTGTCTTGAAATTTTGCCATTTTAATTATGATGTGTCTTGAGGTGGGCCTCTTTGGGTTCCTCTTGATTGGGACTCTCTGTGTTTCCTGGATTTGTGTGACTTTTTTCTCTCATCAAATTAGGGAAGTTCTCCTTCATTACTTGTTCAACTAGGTTTTCGATCCCTTGCTTTTCTTCTTCTCCTTCTGGTATCCCTATTATATGGATATTATTATGTTTCATATTGTCTTGCATTTCTCTTAATCCCTCTTCATTCTTTCTGAGCCTCTTTTCCTTTTCTTGCTCTTTCTGCATGTTGTTTTCTACTTTGTCCTCCAGCTCGCTAATCCGATCTTCTGCTTCATCGATCCTGCCTTTCATTCCTTCTACTGTGTTCTTCAGTTCAGAAATTGTATTCTTCATTTCCTCTTGGCCTTTGTTGAGAGTTTCTATTTCCTTTTTCATGTTTATATAGTTTGCGGTGAGATTGATGTACTTTCCCTCCAATTTCTGAAAACTCAATGTGAGTTCATTGAACTTCCTGGTAATCATTGTTTTGAACTCACTGTCTGATAATTGAGTTGCCTCTATTTCATTTAGCAGTTTCCCTTAGGCTTCCTCGTTTCCCTTCAGTTGGGGGTTGTTTCTTTGTTTTCTCATTGTTCGTGTGTTTCTTCTTTTTTCTTCTTGTTTTTTAATTTGATCTGTTCTGATTTCCTGTAATTATGGTGTGAACTTCTGTGGTAGAATATTTGTGAGATTCAGTGGTGCAATCTCCTTTGTGTATCCTGGTGTTCACAGCTTCCCGCTACTCTTTTTGTGATCAGTTGGAGGAATAAGGCAAAATGGTTTAAGACAGCAAGACAGTATACTATGATATTTACATTAGCAGCCAGTAGAGAAGAGATGGGTTATCCTTTGGCTCCTTATAGTGTTAACAGTGATCCTCCAACCCACTATCCACGTTTTAGAAAGGGTGGAAAGAAGGTAAGACACTTATTGGGGACGAGAGAATTGTTAGTTGGATCTAGAAAGCTATGAGGTTGTGGGAGGTCAGATTCTAAGGTAGGGCTGGATTAAAGATTAGTATATAGGAGTAGTGTGTAAAAGAATAGAGACAACCCCCACAATAGTATAGTTCAGAAAATTGCAAAGTGCGCTGAGATCAGGTAGGGGTATTGAGAAGTATTTACAATTGTATAGACTAGGTCTTACTAACAGTAATAGTAAAGTGAGAGTCTTGTGGCAGAATCCATGAGGTCTAGATAAAGAGTATAGAATACTCTTTATCTAGAATAAAGAGTATAGAACCTTGAGAGGTGTATTAATGGAACACAGATGAAGGATAGTAACTTATCAACACCTTGTAACTGAGATACCAGGGGGAACCTACCAAATGACAGTATAACCAGCCAAGCAAAGAAAATTACCCAGAAAGAAAAAGAATACCAAAATAATATTAAAATAAAAAATGTCAGAAAATTGAGAAAAAGATAATACAAATTTTCAGTAACTTGGAAGATGAAAAAAAAAAGAAAAGCAGAAGATGTAGTGCAGGAGAGATAAATTTGGAGTGGAAAGAATAATATTAGGATGAATGGAAGAGAAACATAAGGGATTGTGAGATAAAAATAATAAGAATTGAAAAATAAAATGTCACAGAAAACACAAGATAAAATCAATCAACTAACAACAACCACAAAAACCAATCCAAACCAAACAAAACCAAACAGAACCAAACAAAACAAAAAAAAAAGACAGAGAGAAAAAGAAAAGAAAAAAAAAACCTCTTGTTGGTTTCTAACTGGCCAGACCAGTTTTTCCGATCTTGCTGGCTTCAGCTGGCTGAGGGACCTTGGAAATGCTTCTCTCTCTCCCAGCCTAAATCTCAGCAAGTCTGTCAGAATACAGACTTGCTGTACCCTGGGCACTTGCAAGCACACTGGCTCTCTGGGTCTCACTTCCACGTTCTTCCAGACTCGGGGGTCCTGCAGGATTCCAGCTCTATGATCTCAGGAGGCACCCGCGACTTTTTGGGATTCACTGCGCCCTCCCTGGGAATCATAAAAGGGCATGTCCTTCCCCCAAACTTTTGAAATTCAGGGTCTAGGATCACCCTAAGTGCCTTGCCGCACCCATTCTGGGTTCACAGGGAGCGCGAGACAGTCTTCCTGATGGTGCGCAAGCCGAGCCCTTTCCAGCTCTGTGGTCACCGCCAAACCGCACTCCGACCGGGTGTTGGCGCCTTTCCTAGCTCCCCCGGTCAGGCTGGCTGGAAATTTCTGAGCCACTACTGTAGGAATGCACCAAGCACCACGTCCAACCCAGGATCCCGGCGTATGATTCAGTCCTCCCTATGGGGCGCGAACCGAGAGCTTTCAGACTCTGTGCTCTCCACCGATCTGCACTCCCTCTGGGCTAGGGGTGCAGGCGCTCTTCCAGGTTGCCCCTGGTCCTGTCGGCTAGAGGCCCTCACTTCTCCCAAGTCTCTGGGTGGGTGTTCATAGTCCCTGGGCAATTTTTTCCCAGTCAAACTGGCCAATCTGTTCCTTCTAGCAACACGTTCTCCCCTGGAGTTGCTCACCCCTGTATTCGGGGGAGGGAGCAGTGACTCCCCTCTCCTGGGAGCCCCGAGCACCGGGCCTGGGGACTGCACACCCCTAGTCCCTGCGCCAATCCCTGGGCCCCTTTTGTCCTGAAGAAGTCTCCTTACCATCTGGTTTTTCCATGATCACAATAATTTTTGATGTCCTGCTTTCAAAAGTGATTCGGTAACCTAGTCCACTTGCTCTGTTTCTCCACCGATCTGCGAGTTTCCCTCCTCTTCACAGAAGCTGAGAAAAATGCTGCCTAGAGTAAAGCTGCCATCTTCCCATCCAGATCCTTGCTTTTCATAGCTTTGAATATTTGTGCCAATCCCTTCTGTTGAGAAATCAGCTGACAGCTTTATGGGAGCTCTCTGGTAAGTAACTGTCATTCTCTTGCTGCTTATAAGATTCTCTATTTATATTTAACATTTGGCATTTTAATTTTGATGTGTTTTGGTTCTGGGGCCTCTTGAGAGTGACTCTGATGCACGTCAATGTCAGGTAGTACTTGTGACCAGTCCTGGGATAACTGTTTGAAGCTACAAATGGTTTGTGGCCATCTCTGATAAGCCTGGGTGCATGTGGGAGTGGCCAAGCTGTGTGCCAAAGCTGGCTTCCACCAGCACTGGACCAGGGTATGTCAGCAGAACGCTCAAAGCACTTCTAAATCCACTTTCACCTACCAGAAGGCTGTTGAACTTAGCCAATAAAAGAGTCTCTGGCTGTATGTGAGTTGAGTAAAGTACTGAGTCACCATATATATGTGAGTCATGCTCACCAGGTTGACACAGATTTAAACTCAGTGCCCAGGTTGGGTTCATGATGCCACTCAGCAAGTCTCAGGTTACAACAAGGCCTGCAGCCACCTCCCATGGGCTTGCAGACCTTTGTGGTGGGGCAGGGTTTGGGGAGTCATCAAGGTGCGGCCAGTAGAGTTTAATAGGCTAAAACAAGCCAAGATCTGGCCATGTGGATGGAGGGCTCTGCACAGGAATAGTGGTGCCAGTTGGACATATGAGGGAAATAATCACCCTTATCACAGAGCCACACAATTCTGTCTCTCCACATTAGTCTCCACTACATTAGTCTACCCACACCTCTTTGAGAGCCTTCCATGAAAGTATGTATCACAGGCCCAGGTTTGCCACACCCAGCTGACACTTCCACAGGCTGTGAGCTCAACAGGTGGGGTCACCTAGGGTTGGAAGAGTGGATTTAGTTGGTCTCCCAGGGGGAGGAAGTGCCATTCCAGCTCATATGAGGAAAAATGGCCCCTTCCCCAGAGCCGTACAACTCAGCATCCTCACAATTGTCCTGACAACCTGAACCTGCCTGAATCTCTTTAAGAGCCTCCAAGAAAGTCTTCATCAGAGGCTCAAGCTTGCCATGTTGAGAAACATTTATCCTAATGGGTCCTATGCATCTGAGATATCCCTCCAGATTTGCAGCCACTGCACTAGGGTATGTGGCCAGCTCTTTTTGTGCCTCCACCTTTCCTACCAGTCTCAGTGTGGCTTCCTGTGTATATCCTTAATTATAAGCCTTCTGTTCAGCTAGTCTTCAGTTGGTTACTCAGGTTGATTGTTCTAAATTTTAGATGTAATTCAGTTTGGCTCTGGGAGGAGGTGAGTGAAATTCCACTTACTCTGCTGCCATCTTGGATCCTTCATTCTTTTTTATTCTTCTCTAATTGGGTTATTTCAAAATTCCTGCCATCTAACTAAATATATTACATCTTCTATTTGCTACTCTCTGATGTAGATGTTCCCTGTCATATTTTCCATTTTATTCATTAATTTTTTTCATTCCAGGATGATTTCTACATCTTTGATTTTGTTAAATTGTCTTTTTGAGTTTCTTTGTTGTTTGTTAAGTTTCTTCAAAATACTGCCTTTGTCCCTGGCTGGCATAGCTCAGTGGATTGAGCATGGGCTGCGAACCAATGTGTCGCAGGTTCGATTCCCAGTGAAGGTACATGCCTGGGTTGTAATCCATGACCCCCAAAAACCACACATTTATTTTTCTCTTTCTCTCTATCTCCCTCCATTCCCTCTCTAAAAATAAATAAATAAAATCTTAAAATAAAATACTGCCTTTGAATTCTTTGTCAGTCAGATCACAAAATTCCATGCCTTTAAGCTAGGTTATTAGAAAAATATTATCTTTTGGTGATATCATTTTTCCTTGATATATCATGTCCATGTAGTTTTGAATTCCCTTTTTTGCATTTGACATAGCAGACATCTGCTTAAATTTTTACTAGTGTCTTCAGATGGGCTATTCTTTTTATTGGGGCTGTTATATCTGGATTTTCTCTGCTTTGCTATGGGTACACCTGCTCCTCTCTTCTTGCTCTCTGTTTTAGCAAAATTATTTTTTTAAGTATACTTTATTGACTATGTTACTAGAGATTTCCCAATTTATGCCCTTATCCCCACTATGCCCTGCACCCCCTAACCCTCCAGCTCCACCACTTTAGTTCATGTCCATGGGTTGTACATTTAAGTTCTTTGACTTCTCTGTTACCTGCACCATTCTTAACCTCTCCCCATCTATTTATGCATGCGAATTATGATTCTTATTCCCTGTATCACCCCTGATTCTTCCCTTCCCCCTCCCCACAGAAAACCCTCCATGTGATGTCCATTTCTCTGATTCTGTTTGCATTCTAGTTGTCTGCTTAGATTAGTTTTTTATTTTTTTCATGTTCAGTTGTTGATAGTTATGAGTTTTTGTCATTTTACTGTTCATAGTTTTTTATCTTCTATTTCTTGAAAAGGTCCCTTTAACATATCATATAATAAGGGACCGGCAATGATGAACTCCTTTAACTTGACCTTATCTGGAAAGCACTTGATCTGCCCTTCCATTCTAAATGATAACTTTGCTGGAGAGAGTAATCTTAAATGTAGGACTTTGCCTTTCATGACTTCAAATACTTTTATCCAGCCCCTCCTTGCCTGTAACATTTCTTTTGAGAAATCAGCTGATAGCCTTATGGGCACTCCTTTGTAGGTAACTGTCTCCTTTCCTCTTGCTGCTTTTAAGATTCTCTTTACCTTTAATCTCAGGTAACTTAATTATGATGTTCCTTTGTGTGTTCCTATGTGGGTCCAATTTTCGGGAGACTCTCTGGGCTTCCTGGACTTCCTGGAAGTCTATTTCCTTTACCACATTGGGGGTGTTTTCCTTCAGTATTTGTTCAAATAAGTTTTCAACTTCTTGCTCTTGTTCTCCTTCTGGCACCACTATGATTTGGATATTCAAAAGTTTATAGTTGTCCAGATGTTCCTAAGCCTCTCCTCATTTTTTGAATTCTTGTTTTTTCATTCTGTTCTGGTTGGATGTTTATTTCTTCCTTTAGTTTCAGATGTTTGATTTGAGTCCTGGTTTCCTTCTCTTCATTGCTGGTTCCCTTTATGTTTTGCTTTATTTTTCTTTGGGTAACCTTTATTTGTTCCTTCATTTTGCAACTGAGCTCACTCAGTTTTTTGAGCATCTTGATTACCAGTGTTTTAAACTCTGCGTCAGGAAGGTGGGTTATCTCCTTGTCACTTAGCTTGTTTCCTGGAGTTTTGATCTGTTATTTCATTTGGGCCATATTTTTTTTTGTCTCAGCACACCTGTGATGTTGTAGCGGGGTGGGGCATTAGCTATTCACTCAAGTGGTGCAACACTTTCTGCTGCACTGTGCCCCTGGTTGTAGGGTAGGGTTCAAGAGGGAACAGTTTGGCTTGTTTTCTCTGCTTTAGCCCCACTTTCCAATGAGCTCTATTGTGTAAGGCTGGGAGTTTTCCACCAAGGCAACCCCTGCAATGGTTTACAGTGTCCTTGAGTCTTTTACAGTGTCCTTAGTTTCCTGTTCAGCCAGCTCCACCTCGCTGGAGCAGTTCTGGGTCCTCTCAGCGAACCCCACCTCACTCTCTTCGGCTGTTGCTTTGTTCCCTTACTCCTCTGCCTTTCCAGGGGTCTTCTCTGCCTGCCCAGTTGCCCATCTCTGTCTCTCCTACCAATCTGGTGAATATTTCTTTAACTTCTTGTTTGTCAGAGTTCCATGCAGTTTGATTTTCTAGCACTTCTGGTTGTTTATTGTTTTTAGATTGGTCGTTATCTTCCTTTTGGTTGTACATGGGAGTGAAGGGTTTCTACCTATGCCTCCAAAATTCTTAACCTTTTATGTCATCTATAGTTCTTATAATTCACCTTAGCAATTGGAAACTTCTCTTGTTTTCCAGAAGGTGGTCCTATAACCCAAGCATGTGGTTTCTCCCTAGCACACAAATCCTAAGAGGATTTTCTGATCCCACTGCATTTTGCAGATTAGCTTTCACTGCTGAACACAAGGGAGCAGTCACAATTGGGGGAGTTCTGAGCTTAGCACTGGGGGTATTGGTAGTGCCTGCAGCCCCAGTGGGGAGATCTTCAGGTAAGGTTCTCTCACAGGGACATGGGAGACCTTCCTGCTGAAGTCCTGACCAAAACCACCAAAAACCTTGACTTTTAAATGCCTTTTGATATTCTTCTCTTCTTCCTTGCCATCTCTTCCTTTACCCTGGTCATGGATGTCCTGCCATAGTACTCTAGGTGTTGCTGGAAGGCAATGTGTTTCTCTAACCATACCCCACTCAATTGAGGTAGCCAGTCAGTCACTATCCACTTTCCTTTATCCCCACTGGACAGACTGCCATCATCAGATATGGCAGCCAATGCAATATCCAGAAGACTGAACTTCTGTAGCTAATTTTCTCCCATCTTTGGGCATCTGCCCAGGTCAGCATTCTAAAGGTTCTTTCCAAACATGTTAAGGTGGCTGGGGCAGAATCACTGGCTCTGCTGCTTCTACTTCCCATACTGAGTTCTTCTGTCCATTACCAGAAGCACAGTGTAAGAGACTCCTTTCACATACAAAGGAGGACCTCAATTAAACATCAATTATACTATATTAAAAATTGTGTATTTTTCTTACACGTTTAATTTCAGTCACTATCAAAACACTTTCCCTATGATACAATATGAGTATTGAGACATTTTTTAAACAGTTTTTGAACTCATCAGGTTGTATACCTGTTAGTGTTTCTGTCATTTTTCCTTTTACCTCTTGTCCATCAGCAAAACATTTCACTCTGAGGAGTTTCTTTATTGGGGGAAACAAAAAAAAATCTCACAGGGTTAAATCTGGTGAATGGAGAGGGTCGGGCATGAGGGTCATGTCATTTTTGGTCATAAACTGCTGAGCACTCAGTGCAATGTGGGCAAGAACACTCAAATCACCCATCATGAAGTGGGCAAATGCACTGAAAGAGTCTTCAAAACAAATTCACTGAAGCCAGATGTGATGGCACACTGATACAGATGGGTTTCTAGAACACTCACTACCAGGGAAAGCCTGTACCACAGGGGACCTGCCTTCCAGAAAATAATTCTGGTGGGTTTTTTTTGTTGTTGTTCCCCTTTGTACTGGGCATTTGGTGCTAGATCCTCCAGTTTCCACAGGGGCATATTTGTTTTTGAAAAAGTGTCCCATTAATTGTAATAGAATGGAGAGAAAGCAGAAGAAATATGTCATCATTATACTGAGGTCAAGAGCTGCATTTTAAAGGACAGGGGAGTAAATAAATATTATAAGATAGTATGATAAGAAGGGACAGATAGAAGAAGGAAAGTGTTCTAAACACATTTGATAGAAACTAATGGAAAATAATAACTGGTGTTGTCCCTTTTGTTTTTAAAGTAAACATCAAGCAATCAACTGCATGTATATTTTTACCCTGCAACCTACAGCTTAATGTGCTCCATGCAATTGATTCTATTTAAATTGGAAGTACAAAAAGCTGAGATATAGAGCTTCAAATCATCTTGACAACTAAAAGCATTGTACACCTTGAAAAAACTCACAAAGATGTTTTGTGCATATACATACACCAAAATTTCAAAAATATTAACATATTTATTGAAGCAATGAAATGAAATGATGACAAAGCCTTAAAGGATTTCATTTTTAGTATTCTTTAACTTTTTTCCATGTGGCTGATGCTTCCTAAGTTCATGACTGTCTTTTCTTTCTACAGCCATGGACACAACAAAGTCCCCCCATTATGAGTCTTTTCTCAGAGGAAATAGGAGGCAAGATCTCCAAGACATGCTGAGAGAAGTAGGACTTGCTAATGAGTACTGGTTGCCCATGATGCAGGAACAGCTGGGTGTGACCTGTGTCCAGGCCTTACAGCACCTAGAAGAAAAAGACCTCCAGAAGCTGAAATCCCAGGCACAACATTCCTGGGAGGAAAGGGCCCTGGAGAAGCTACTCAACCTGTCACACTCACATAGACTTTCAGAGTTTCAGAAGTCTCAGGTGAAAATGATAAAGAAAAAGCTGAAGAACGCAGATCAGACACTGCAGGAGATGAGAGACTTACTGTCTGGAGGGAGGCAACAACAGGAAGAGATAGTGGAGAAAAAAGAGGCAGAGCTGAGGCAGGCAATGGAGATCCCTCAATGGGGCTGGCTACACCTTGAAAAAACCCTAAAAGATGTCAAGGAAAATTTGCAGGGTCAAGTCAACCTTATGAAGGGGACACTGTCTCATAGGAAAAACCTCTCAGATACAGATCTGGTGAGATGTGTGTTTGGAGGGCTGGCTCTGCAGGGAATGTCCAAAAACAGCCACCAAAGGGGGCTTATAGAGAAGAGAGAAGAGCAGGGTTCACTAATGGAAACTAAAGAATCTACATCTTCTCAAGCAGAATCCATGTTTACCCAGACAGTAGAGGAAGGCCTCAATGTGATTACTTCAGTCAAGAGTGGAGGTTGGAGATTTAACTTGGAAACTGGTAGGGACCACAGCAAACATTCAGAATCCAAGGCTCATTCCATCATGCCATGGACGTTCCAGTCAGAGTCAGAGCAAGAGCACATCAGCATCTCCCAATTTTCTGAGTTAATTAAAATCTTACAAGAAACTCGGAATTACCTCATGAAAGTAAAAGCCAAATCTGCTTCTGCAGAAATAGTGGAGAAAGCACAGAGAAAGACCACTTATGACGTCAGTTTGTCTCTTGGCCACTTCTTGAAATACCTCCAAGAAACCGAGCAGCCAGACACACAGCTCTTGCTACGTTTTATTGCAGCTGGTGCAGGATATCACGTGGTAAACAGTACTTTTCAGTACCTCCTGGGTTGTGATGAGTTGAACTTTCTACTGAATGAAATGCAAACTGCCCAAGATAAATACCAGGAGCTCAAAAATATTTGCCCCTACAGGGCTCAGGCATTCCTGGTGCTCACAGGTCTGACAGCTACTGCTGGAGTTGCAGCTATTTCACCAGAGGAGAAAAAAGAACGACTTGCATTAATAAAACAACACATGGGCCAATCTTTGTTGAAGGAAATTGTACATGTCCTCTCCAAACCTGGAGCAGATCATGATTGGGAACACTTAGAGAGGGATTTGAGATTGCTCATTGATGGTAACACTGAAGCCACCACCTCTTTGTTGCAAATGGATGAGGTAAGAAAAAACTTGCAAAGTACTTTCCATGAAAAGAAACAATCCCATGACCCACAAGATAAAGAAAATAACAGATGTGAAGTCATAGAAGACATGGCTTTTCTGAAATTACTCCAGCGTCTAGACCTAGAACAATACTACCCAAAAAAGATGAGCAGAGATCACTTCCATCTGATCCACAAGACTTCTGTGTACAACACCCAGCCCAGCTCTGAAAGGGAGCTTCCCTTCTATTTCCTCCAGAAGTTATTGGTGCTAGATTATGAGCTGAGATACCTAGTCTTCAGAGAGGCTGGAAACACACAAAATCAACTTTATCCAAGTGCTTCAAATCCAGAAACTGAAGCTCTTGATCCATATGAAGACTTGTTTGAAGACAGTGAAACTCCCACTAATCCTTCAGCCACTAATCCTAGATCCCATATTCACCCTATGGATATTCAGATGGCAATCCTTCACTGTGCAGATGATTTTGCCCGGCAATATATTTTGTTGAAACTTTCCATTTGCCAGTTTGCCCTCCCACTTCTCATACCGAATCCCTGCAATTCTCAAATTGAGTTCTCTCTCTGGTCTCTCAGTCACATTAGAAAAAACTGGCAGGAAGCAAGGAAATCAAAAGAAAACATCAATTTCAAGAATAAGCAAATGTGTCGTGTCCCTACCCCCATTGTGTCCTTTATTAGAGTTGGAAATAACCTCTCTGCTTCCAAATCTCAGATCATGAACTGTCTTCTCAGTAATCGTAGACATGATGTCTTTTTTCACCGACATTGCAGAGGGAGCACCAAAGACTGTCTCTTGATGAAGGGTGTGGTGGAAGTTTGCTGGTTCTGTCCTGGTGGGGAAGAAAAGGACAGATTTGGAAACTGCTTGGCCTTGACCAATCTTCATGGAGATGCAAAAGAACATGAGAAGCAACTCAGCTTCCTGCAGGAGGTCTCTTCTCTCATTGTAGTCCTCATGTCAACTTCTGATGACAATAAAGAAAACCGAAAAATTGTCCATGACCTGAGTCAGTCACCAAAACCTTTGATTTATTTAATTGACAACAAAGAAAAAACCATGGTCAATAATTCTGGCCAGAAAGTGAGAATTGGGATCAGGAACAGAAATGAGGCTGAATTAACAGAGGAGCTCGTTATTACAATCAGACGTTTGCTAGAGCTCTCACACACTGCTCTCAGCTTAGAGGACTGTATCCCATATGCTCGCAAGCAAGGATTCCTTATTGATGAAGATCAGCAAGAATGCAAGGAAGCCAAAGAAAAGGCAGAGGTCTTAATGGCCCTACTGAAAGAAATGAAGATGTCTCAGGTGAAGGACAACTTTCTACCCCTACAGGGACACCTGTGGCATCTTTGGTGTAAAAAGGACAAAGAACTCTATCACCTGAAGGAAAAGGGGAATAGGAGCATTGAACAACACAAGAGTGAGATTGAGACAGAAAAGCAAAGAATACGGCATCAACAGTTGGCCAGAGCCTTTCCTCTCAATGACTTATTGCAAGCTGTCCTTCAGATTCTCCAAAATCACTCAGGAACTCAAACCACACTCTACTTTTTGCAATGGCTGAGTGTATTTTTGGACAACCTGACTGCAGGACACTTGGAAAAACTGAATGAGGAGAAAAATGCTTTGTGGTCACTGATACAAACAAAAAAGCAAAAGGCACCAAAGAGCAACAACCTACTAGGTTGGCAAAAAGAGATAGAAGTTATCTCCAAAGAGATTAATGACTGTACCCTGGGAATTGAGCAACTTCTCAGAGAAGTTGGCCAAATTTATGAAGCTCTGGAAGAAGTTTCTGCCACAAAAGATAAACTTTTCCTCTCCCTTCCCCAGATTGCTGCAGATCTGCTGATATCTGGTGTTCCCATTGAGCTGATGGATGGGGATGCTTCCTATGTGCCTCTAAAGTGGGTAGCAGCTGTTTTTGACAAGGTCTCTGAGAAACTTGGAAACAAACGGCTGTTTGTTCTCTCCATCCTTGGCCTACAGAGTTCAGGGAAGTCCACCCTGCTGAATGCACTCTTTGGGCTGCAGTTCACTGTCAGTGCTGGGAGGTGTACCCGGGGGGCCTACATGCAGCTGCTGAAAGTAGAGGAGACTTTCACAGAGGAAATGGGCTTTGACTTTGTGCTTGTTGTGGACACAGAAGGACTTCGGGCCCCAGAACTCAGCAACAAATCCAAGAATCGTGACAATGAGTTGGCAACTTTTGTCATTGGACTTGGAAACTTGACTCTGATCAATATTTTTGGAGAAAATCCATCAGAAATGCAAGATATTCTACAAATTGTTGTCCAAGCTTTTATGAGGATGAAACAAGTAAAAATCTCACCTAGCTGCCTCTTTATCCATCAGAATGTGGGGGAAGTCACAGCTAAAGACCAAACTATGGAAGGACGGAGGCGGTTAGAGCATAGACTGGATGAAATGGTAGCCAGGGTGGCTGAGCAAGAACAGTGCCCAGGTATAACTCGCTTCAGTGATGTCATTAAGTTTGATATCAATACTCATGTTTACTACTTTGCTCACCTCTGGGATGGCAACCCCCCAATGGCCCCTCCCAATCCTCGCTACAGCCATAATGTCCAGGAACTGAGAAGTAGAATTCTTATGACTGCCAAAGAGGACTCTAGGGGAAGCATCTTGAAGATATCAGATGTCAAATCCCGAGTTCAAGATTTGTGGAGAGCCCTGGTGAATGAAAATTTTATTTTTAGTTTTAGGAATACCAGAGAGGTCATGGCAATGAGAAAATTAGAAACCATGTATAACTCCTGGACCTGGGAGCTGAGGAGTCATGTGCTAGACTTGCAGAACCAGCTGATCAACCAGATTAAGAATGGAATAATCCAGACACTCCCAACAAGCACAATTGCAGCTCCAGTTTCAGAAAAATATGAAGCTATCAAGCAAGAACTCGACAAATACTTTAATGAAGATCCAGAGAGTGAAATACTGATTCAATGGAAAGCGAATTTTGAAAATAAGCTAATAAACCTTAAAGAGACACTTATTTTGGACACCAAAAGTAAAGCTGAGGGACATCTTGGTTATAAAAAGAGTCAAGAAATACTGGATAATAAAAAGTCAGGTTATGATAAGGAATTATTGGAAAGAAGCCGAGAATTGGCTACAACTCTAGAGGGCAAAGAACTGAGTGAGGAAGAGCTACAAGAGAAATTCAATCAACTTTGGGAAAAATGGGTCTATGCTGTGTCCTCAACTGTCCCTCCAGTCACAGAGCCGAACATTGATGTGGATTCTGAAGGCATCCTTTGGGAATATTTTCAAAAGGAGAGAAACATAGTAAACATACTGAAGAAAGATGATAGGAAAACATTTCAAATAAATTATAAGGAACATATAAATATGAGCAAAACATATGGCCTAATTTCAAGAAAATTAGAAGTATATGATGAAGAGTCCATAAAAACAACTACTAACCACATTGTTTCACGATTCAATGAAACTATTGATAACATTCAGAAGCAACAGCGTGATTACAATCCAAATTATTTCCATGAAATCCTGAGAATAATAGAAGACGGGATTAAGTCTGCATGTACGGATGAAAAATACACATTTACAAGTAAATATAAAATTGACTTATCTTTATGTTTATTTCAAAGAGCTTCAGAAAAGTTTAAGCAAATGCACGAGGCATTCAAAAGAGCAAATGATCCTGTAAACTATCTGGAAAGCAAGAAAGGTGATTTCTTCATGAGTTTTAAGATCTCTTGTCAAGGGGCAACCTCAGTCACAACATTTGTTGGCTTTTTGTGGAACAAACTCACTCCTGCTGTTTCCACCACCATTTGGGAAAAAATGGTCCCTACAATTGCTGGGGAGATGCGAGCTACCTGCCCAGCATTCAATGGTAACAGGGCTAACCTGGAGAAGCACATTCTTATCTCTCTGGCAGAAAATGAAAATTTTGATGATTACATGGAGTACATTCATAATCCAGAGTCATTTTTCATGAATTACATTCAAAATCATGTTAAAAGTTATTGTGCAGAACAAGGAAGTGAAAAAATAAAGACTTTTTTAAAAATGACTTTAGATGACATCAAGACTACCATCCTCTCAGCTATTCATGAAGCCACAGCAAAAGCTAAAGATCAAAGCAGCACTGGGTCTGGGTGGCTGGATTTCTTCTGTGATGAGCTGAAGAGTAACTTGATCTTCCCACGAAAAGACTTGATAAGCATTGAACACCAGGAGATAAAAGATTTTGAATTTCTCAAAGAAGCCATGAGTGAAGCTTTGGATCCTGCAATGAACAAAGTAGAAAAGGAGTGTTTGACTAAGCCTATGGAAGAAATGGTTCCTGAAATCCAGAAATTGCTCTCTGAACAACTCTGTGGCTGCTGGAAACAGTGTCCCTTCTGTAAAGCAATTTGTACAAACACAATCCCTTCACATGATGGAGATCACAGTGTTCCCTTCCATCGTCCTCAGGCTGTCAGAGGATAGGGATGGGTTAATACCGACCACTTTTCCATTGATTATTGTACTAGTTCAGTAGCAAGTGAATGTTCACTTCATTTTGAGTGATGATCGTAATATCCCATATAAGAAGTATCGAGAGGCAGGAGGGGAATATGCCACATGGAGCATCACCCCAGACACATCTACCCAGCCATACTGGAAATGGTTTGTCTGTCACTTCAGATCAAACCTAGAAGAGAAATATCAGAAAAAATTTGCAGGTAGAGGTGAAATCCCTGATGCCTGGACCAAAATCACAAAGCAGGATGTGCTGGATGACTTGAAAAAGCAATAATACTCAATAACCCCAAAAGAGTACCAGAATCTGAACAAGGGTCACACAACTTGAACAATCCTAAAACACATTTTTCTCACAAAAAAAATGGTCTCTACAATTGCTGGGGACATGCAAGCAAATGTTAACAATGAAAACCCCCATTATTAACATTTTCAAATGAAACAACTAAATATAAATCAGTAAACATTTCAAGAGCTGAAGATTTTCTGTTGAAAGGACTTTTACTTTGTCTCATTTTCTTCTAGTTTAAAAAGAAACTATTAAAATATATGAACAGTATGATAAAAATCAATTTAATACATCCCTTATTCATATTTTAAACTATTACTCAGAATGTTGTTTATTTTAAAATATATAACAATACATAAATTCCCAAGAAAGTCATTCAAATAGAGGGAAATCAAAATCACACTGCAAACACCTACAAATTTCTGTGGATTAACTATATGGACATTTCAAACCAATCAATACATAGTTCTAGACTACAAGCTTCAAACTACCTTTTCTTTCAGTGTTTTTTTTCCCTGTGAAATAGCAAAGAAAAGTTACTAAGGTTTCAATGAAAAAGTATCCAGAAAAGTCCATGATTCCCAAGCATAGAGATATTTAAACATATTCACTTCTAGAAAAGAAAAACACAAGGGACTTGACGAGGATAGAGTCTATGTCAATTCAGAAAATATTATCAAGCAAATATAAAAAATAGAAATTAAATAACTGTTTTTCTCATTTAACCATCACCCTTTTTTCCATATCATCTTCACAGTTCCCTGTGCATAATTTTTTTAAATGGTTGACAAGAGTTCAGGTGAATAGCCTGGTCGTCTGTACTAATCTAAGAAAGATTGGTTTTTTGAACAAGATATATGAGCAGATGTAAAGCACCTTTTTAATCTAGGCTGTGGAAACAGTCTGATTTGATTACACCATTAATGATTTTAAGAAATTAATCCTTCCCATACAAAATATGAAAGCATATATACTTTTCAGGTTTCTGGTATTTCAATAAGAATTTTTTATGCATTGAAATGTAAAGAAATGCATAATTCCAGAACTGGTACCCTTAGGATTTTCACACTATTTGTGCCAGAGGGTCAGGATCAGAATAAAAATGAAAAACACACTAAAGTTAACCAGGAACCTGAGAGGAGAAATAAATCGCTATTCTGCAAACCTACATTTCCTGAAAAAATGACTTATGCTGGATTGTCCAAGCTGATGATCTAAAGAAATCCTGATACTATGAAGAAAATTTCTTCATATCAGAACATCCATTGGCCTCCATTTACAGACACATACTGTACCCCTTCCTAGCCAGTGAAAACAGACAGTCCAGAAAGACAGCAGTCAAAAAACTTGGATCTTCAGAGCTAGGAGATAGGAGTGCTAATTCTGCTAGCTTTATACCCTCAAAGGGTTTCATGACCCATGTCTCCAGAATTCCTGGGACAGAAAAACTATAAAGAACACGGATTTTCATGAACAGTATGGTTTCCCTTTGTTCTCTAGTAAACAATCTCAGTAAGACTTGGAAGGTCCTCTGAATATGAAGTTCAAATAGTGACAGAAACAGAACCTCAATGTAGCATGGTACCTGTCTCTCATATTACTGCATCCTTGAAAACTGCCATGTTCTGTTAGCACTTGTTGGATGCCTTTTTAATTTGTTTAATAAATCTATAGTAGCCTTTAAGAAGTATCATATATCATAACTCATATGTTAACTTTGATTTTCAACCCAAAATTGTTGTGTACAAATAAAATATCTTTGATAAATTCCTCAGGTAGTTAAGCAGTGTGATTATTAAATGAGATTCACAGGCTGTGCTCAACAGATCCAAAAACCTGGCAAGAAGTATATTGGGATAAAGAGAAGATGACTGGAGGAATGGACTTTAATGTGATAGTAGTGGAGAAAGTAAAGCTGCCATCAAGGTTTGATCAGGATATGGGGATTATAGTGTTGTTGGGATTGGGGTCACTGAGAGAGGAGCCCTCAGGGCCAGTGGATAGGAGAGAATGGAGTCAGTAGGGATGAGAATACACGATCATCAAGAGTGGGAGACACAGGGCACAAGTGTGTAGATCACAGGGTTAGAGGAACCAGAATTGTAAGATTGGTAAAGGTAAGGTTCCCGTGGTCAGTTGTATGGTTCTCTCAAGAGTCACTAAAAGTGGAAAACATAGAAACAGGAGTTGGAGGTTACCACACTCAAAGATTTAGGTGGTTTCCAAAGTAAGTTAAGCAAGAGATCCTAAGTATAGTAGGGAAGAAGGAGCCTTTAAGATTGAGGCTAGGAGGGTGATGATTTCTGAGACGAGATCAAACCATATAAATGCGAATTCTTTAAAGAAAAATAAAAATTTGTACTGAGAAATTTTGAAGTAGTTCTCTGAAAGAGAGGTTATAAATATGAGAGAGCCTAGCAAATGTGGTGAGTTAGGGACTAAATATTTGTGTCCCCCCAAACCCAATATTGAAGCCCTAACTCCCAATGTGATTTGGAGAGGGGGCCCTCAGAAGATAATTTGGGTGAAATGACTTCAAAGGGTCTTGCCTTCATTGATGGGATCAGTGCCTTTATCAGAAGAGACTCCAGACAGATCCTGGTCCCTTCATGTGCATAAACACAGGTAAGAAGGTGGCAAACTGCAATATGGTGGCCAGAAAGAGAGCCTTCACAAGAAACCAACTCAGCCAGAACCTTGATTTCAATGCTCCAGAACTATCAGGGACAAATTTGTTAATCTAAGACACCCAATCCATGGGTGTATGTTATGGCAGCCTTAGCTAACTACAACAGGGTGTGGCTAAAAATTGACCCCCTCAAATTTTGGTGTGCCCTGCCTTTAGGCTATGGGGAAAGACATGCAAAACCTATGATTTTTCCATTCCCTCCAAATTGTAATACTCTATAATCATTCTAACCCTTCACTAAGGTCTGAAAAAAGTCATTGAAGCCTTGATGGTAGTGCTGTGGTGCCTGAGTAAACAAGGCAGTGAAGGCATTTGTGTATTGTTACTGATATTTTCATGATAATTACTAATACTTTTATCTTTGCAGTAGTACTGCTCTGAGAGATTGGGCTTGTAACTTACTCTCTCTGTGCTCAAGTGCCCTGTCTCTAACAGTGCATTCCTCATGGTGTTATTGGGAAAAATAAATGAATTGCTCTATAGAAGCAGTTAGGAAAATGCCATACACTGAGTAAGTTCACTCCAAGTCTAAGTTAATATAATGTTATATTATTTATCCCAGGTTCCTTATACCTTTGCCTTTGAGTAACCACATTGATAGGCTGAGATAGTCTCATCTGGGCTTCACTTGCAGGAATATCTAACAAAGAGTCCTTGGCAAACCACAGTTGAGAATATTTTAAGTTCTCAATACATGTGATTTCAATTGATTCTGATACTGATAGCCTGATGGCAGATCCCCTGTCCTTGGGCAAGGTTGTGACAGGAGGAAGCATTACACTGAGCACATGCAAGGCTGGTAAAATAATTGCAATACAAAACAATTGTATCCTACCCCTTTACAATACCCGATTTGGGGTAGAACCAGAGGAAGGCAGGCACATGCACCAAAGAGGTCGGAATGGCACCAGGGCAGTGACAAACTCAAGAAATCTGCCAGTGTAGCCTGGGGCAAAGAAGGGATTGGTTGGGCCCAGGTTCTGTCTCCCAGGAGAGAGCCTATTGCCTGATAGTGGCTGGGGGGAAAGCTGAGCTGCTTGGATGACCACTCAGTGGCTGCCTGTCATTCCTGAGAGATGGTATTTTAAATGGGAGAAGGAATTCTGAACACTGCCTTTGGTTTAGGTCTGGCAGAGGTTGGTTGGGTTTTTCTCTGGGTTTCAGGAGGGGATGGGCTTGTGAGACAGGAGTCTGCCATTCTTCCAGATTATGCAGCATATGAGTAAAGACCACTTTCCTTTCTCATGAACATCTGCCTCTGGAATTTGCCTATTGGTGATTGCGGGCAGCTGAACTGCCAGTTTGGTTTGGTAACAATAGTTCAAAATGTACCTCAAGGTATTGATGTTCTTTGATGCTTTATCAGTAACAACTATTTCAAACACTGCTCAACCAATCAAAGAAAGAAAATTCAGTAACAATTCTTTAGCACTATGGAAGATAATGTGTCTTAGATTTTTCATGAGTAGGCCTAAGACATAGATTAACATACAAGTAATTTATTAGAAAAGTTATTGCAGTAAGATGTAAAAGGGTAAGAAAGAAGGGGGAAATAATTTAAAGTGAGGGAATAAATTTGTAGATGTAAGTCAAGTTTTGAGAATTAGGGAATGCCAGCTTGCAGTTGTTTGAAGAACACAAACTCAAAATTTAGACTGCTGGGTTTTGCATAGAGCCTCCACTATTCACTACCTGCATGATTTTGGATGAGTTAGTTATACAACCTATCTCTCCTTCATTTCTTTTTCTCTAGAAAATAGTGCCACCTCATAGAGATGTGAGGATTACTTGAGATGATACATATGCCTGGCACAGAGTATGTGTTCCAATTATAGGTGTAGTAATAGCCAATAGCAGTAGCAGCAGCAAGAGCAGAAAAGGTCTTGTTAATAGAAGAAATTATAGTGATTAATAATGTTATTGTTATTATCATTGCTACTATATTAAAATGTCATTATGCCTGCACCTCATTCTCAATTGTAAGCTTCTGAAGAAGAGGGTCCATGTCCTGTTCATCTCCATATGCTCAGAAGATAGAATGTCATTTACTCCAGTGTAGGTGATGAATAAATGCTATTAAATACAGTTGACAGGACAAGTTTATGGAAGTCATGGTAGTTAAAAGTAAATTAAAGAAATCAAAGATGGTTTTGATATTTCAGATAATGCAGATGAGATTAACTAAAGAAAGGTCAGCAATGTCTTCTACTTTACAAAATCCAGATTTTATTCCAAACATCTTACTTGCTCTGTCAGTATCATTTTACTACTGTCTCCTCCCTGAAACACTCTCTTCACTTCAATTTGATAATATGTCAATTTTGTTTTTCCTCCTGTACCACTCTGCCTTACAGGTTCTTCCTCTTCTATGAGAACT